AAAAAATAATAAAATATTGTCCAGTGATTTGATGTTCGACAGTCTCTGATGATTAATAATCGGACCAGATGAGTTTATGCAGGAAATTAAACCGCTCGTTTTCATCTTATTAATTAAACATAAGGAAACCGCTGAGGAGTTGTTTTATTATTTCTTGGCGTGTTTTATTTTTGAAAATCAGTAACCGGATGTGCTGTGCGTCACTCCGTCACTCGGACGGATGGACGTTGTAGTGCTGACTGTAAACTTCGGCTCGGTTTCTTCTCGGCGTCGTCTGTCAGCCCCAAAACTTTTTCACTGACCTGCCGACACTTTGTCAGAACTTTTCTGGGTTCGGGGAGGTTTCCGCGTTCCGGTTCCGTTCAGAAAGGACCGGCTTACCGACGTTTGGGAGTTTGTGAGCCGTTAACTTTTTTTTTTCCTTCCTCCCAACTCGTAAAGCAGGCTGGGTGGGCAGGAAGCTAACTGTGCTAGCGCTTATCTGAGCCGTTTGTTCCGGAACTCACGGAGACGCGAGTTTGTGGATTTTTCTCCTGGGTTGACCGAATCATGGACCGCGGCAGCAGATAACGGACAACCGGCGGGGCGTTGTCGGCGGAAAGCCGCTCTCTGACGGGGTTAAAAGTCGTCCAGCTCTCGGAACCGAGTCCAGTCGCCAGGATGCCCGTGGACTCCACCGTCAGCTTCAGCTTGCTGCACCGAACCTGCAAGCTGGTGGTTCTGCTCTGCTTCCTGCACATTTCCGTCACCSTCTTCTTCTACGTCCGCTCCATGGACACGCGCTTCTCCTTCGCCCAGAAACAACAACAACAGCCGGCGTCCCACCTCAACACGACCCGGCCCACGCAGGACACGATCAGGGCCGTCACCTCCAGAACCGAGCTGCAGGTAGAACCGCGGAAGACCACGCAGGGACCGCCGAGGAGGCTGGAGAAATGCCCCGAAACGTCACCTCTGCTGGGTAAGACCCGCATCTGGACCCGTGTTGTTGGTTCTGGAAGGAAAGGAAGACGGGCCCAGTCTTTCAGAACCAAGAAAACAAGTCCAGCTGGTTTCTGTTTGAAGGTCAGAGTAAAATAAACAAACAAACAAATAAAACTTGAGTTTTATCATAAGTTTAACTGGATTCTGAGATTTGATTGGTTAAAACAAAAACTCAATATTTACATAATCTGAGTTTTATACAGCTGATTATACAACAAAACATTTAAATAAAACAATATATCTATAGATAGAAGTATATATTTTATTAGGTCCTATCTTTATATCAGTTTAACACAAGTTAATGTTTTAAAGTATATTTTTATTGGTTTGAAGTAGTTGAAATAGTGTTAAAGCCACTTTCAATCAATACAAAACCAGTATAAGGAGTTTACATAGATTTGAATAAGTTTAAATCCGTTAAGTTTACATAATAGGTTACAAGTGAGATTAAAGAGGTTTCAAATTCATTTGCATTGATTTGAGAAGGGTTAACTATTTTTAACAAGTTTGATTAGGTTAATTATATTAGGGCTGCAACGATACAGAAAATTCACGATTCTGTTCGATGCTTTAGTCTCGCGATTCAATATTTTTTCGATTCAAAAAAGAGAAATTTCCATGCCCATTTTAACTTGTAATTTATTTACGTAATTTATTTACATTAGTTATGAACATTTGTTTAACCTCAAAAGTAGAGTTTTTAAATTATATGTTGATGAAACAGCAAGTTTCTCAGTGGA